CCTACAAGGTCTTTCCATCTAAACAGAACCTCTCTATATTCACATTTTACAAGTTCTTCCTCCTGGGATTTAGAAGTTGCATTGTTAATAGTAGTGACTCTCATTCACAATTTCTCTAGGATATGTAGTCAGTCGTCATCGATATAGCTGACACAAGGAAGCATGTTCAAAACATTAAACACTGTCTAAGCCTCTGCAAAGTTTTACTTATGAATTAACAGTCTTTCCCTCTACCCTTCATTACCAGGACAAACAGAGGAGCTATTTGGTCATATATTGTAGTAATAAAATCGAATCCCCTTAAGAGAAAGGTAAACAAAAGGAAAACACTCATCCATTATGTCTAGTTGCACTGTGACTCTTACAAGAAGCTGGGAGACGATCCCATTATAGCTCACCATAATATGGAATTTGGTCTCACAAGTTCTTGGACACAGCTGTCGAATTTTGCTTCAAAGGTTCAGTTACTGTATTGGGAGAATAGGTCTGTTTCAACTGTGGATCTGACCTCGTGTTTTCTCCTACCTTCAGTTGAATTGTATGACAAGACAGAGACAAAGAGGGGCACAGTCAGGGCTTCCACCACAGGCCAGCAGCGTGGCAATGCCCATCCATGTCCTAGTGGTTGAAAAAGCAAAGCCCAACAAGATCAAATGCAGGAGCGTCAAAGGCTCAATGGACTGGGCAGCTTTCTGCCATACTCTCTCTGGACAAGGGAGTGGCTTGTGCAAGATCTAGTGAAGAGAGAGTGGAAAGAGAGAGGGAGAGGGAGAGGGAGAAAGAGGGGCAGCCAAGGAAGACCCCACCACAGAGTAAGTGTGTGTATGTGATCAGCCCACACTCACTGTGTGTGAAAATTCCACAGAAAGCCTCCTAAGGTACATACTAATTAAGAATAAAATAATAAAATAAAATAATAGAACATAGACAAACAAAATAATGTCCCCATAATCTTAATAGAAAAAATGATAAAATAATAAATAATATTAAGTTTCTTTGTGTGATTATATAATACATCATATAACATATAATATGTGATAAGTTATATAAAGTGTATAATATTATGTATAATATAATTTATATTAATATATTAATACTTTGTATTATTATGTAATATATTATGGATAATTTTATATGCAATATGATTTAAGTTAAAACAATAATAAAAGTAAAAAAATAAAAGGAAAGCCCTCACCAAATCATAAGGTAGATGTAGGTTCAGGAGCACAACCCTTAACTTTCTCATCAATGTGACAGAGAGGAACAGCCTGGGAAGCCGCCTGGTGACTGTGTGACAGGTGAATGCATGTCCACACGGACCTGGGATAATTGGCTCTCTGGAAATGTGGAGGGTAGGTCAGGACTTCCCAGAGGGTGTCTACATCAACATAGTCCAGCCTCCTTATGCACCAGGGGCCAGTTCCTCTCCAGAGAGCCATTGTCCTACTTCTTAGTTGTTTTTTGAAAGAAGTAAAACTTTGTTGTTAAATCAAAACCTCTTTTATAACTCCCTGCTGCTATTTCCCCCTCCTCTTTAGATGACTACGGCATACACTTGATCCTTATTATTATTATTCTCATGAATACTTGCATTCTTGCTTCATATTTGAATCTGTAAATAATGCTCAGGTAGTCATTAAACATGTATTATATTATAGTTAGATTATACACATCATTAGATTGCAGCTTGCTCATTTTCATTGCCATTATATTTTTAAAGGATTTTTTAAAATTTTATTTATTTATTTATTTATTTATTTATTTATTTATTTATTTTGAGACAGGGTTTCCCTGTATAGCTCTAATTGTTCTGGAACTTATTTTGTAGACCAGGCTGGCCTCAAACTTACTAAGATCTGCCTGCCTCTGCCTCCTGAGTGCTGGGATTAAAGGCATACACCACCACACCCCTTTTCAAATGTTTTTTTTTTTAAATTAGATTTATTCATTTTTGTGTGTGTGTGTGTGTGAGTGCTTTGACTGTGTTATGTATGTGCACCACTTTTGTACCTGCTGCCAGTGGAGGTCAGAAAGGGGCATCAGATTCCCTGGATCCAGAATTACAGATGGCTGTGGGCCAATATGTGGGTGTTGGGAATTGAACCCAGATCTTCTACATGAGCAAAAAGTACTTTTCACAGCTGAGCCTGCCCCCACAATTGTATTTTTTATTTTTGTTCATATCGACACAAACAGCTCTAGTTTATTCAAACTACTGCATAGCATTGTTATAGCATGTATCAAGTGAATAGGTCATAGTTTATTTGCTCATTTTCCTACTGACCAGCAGTCATGGGATGTCCTATTCCTTATTTTCACTATTGAGGTTGTACTGGACATCTGTATCTTCTGTATATATCGAAAACTCCGAAACTCTTTATAAGTATATGCTGAAGAGTAAAAGGGTCTTAATTTTTCTACATTTTGTGTCTTTATAGCACACTATTAAAAGGACATAATTTGAAAAATATTACCGAACCTTTACAATATGTCAAGATGAAGTAAATAAGAGAGACAGAATTTCTGCTGTTTGAGGTCTTATATTTTACTTAGAGATGAGAACAAATTTCGAGACGAGAAAAAACAAAAAACTCTTAAGCCACCTTCAGAGAGTGAATAATGGCATTTGTTATGATTCAAGATCTTCCTTAGTGCTCCATTCCACCTGGGATTGAATAGAACTACTTTGCCCAGCTGTAAGACTTGGCACCATTAGCCCTTGCCTCTGCCTGTTATTTTCTCTACACTCTACCCCCTTGACCTTGAAGTCTTTGGACTCAGTTATTTATTTATTTTTTTCCTGCTTCACCACTTTCAAAGACAGTGTCCTGGCTGCATAGAAAGTTCCTTTTACTTCTCCTTGCCTCTCTCATGCATCGCATCATTTCCCTCATCGTCACTTACCATGGTGGGTGATGATGCCTCTATGATGACACATCTGCCTGGCCTGCTAGCTGGCCAGGCTGTGAGATGGGCCTGCTGTTGCGGCTGCGGCTCTCCGCACCTCCTAGCCCACACCCTGACACATAGATGTTTCTTAGTGAATTTTATAAAATTAGAACAAACAAGAGTGCTTCTCAAAGTTTGCCTGCATGCTCACTTTGATATTGGAAATGCACATACCCAGTCAGAGAGACAACCTGTGCCAGTTACTGTTTGTACTTGCTGGTTTTTGTCAACATGACTTGGCTTTTTGTGTCATGCTGGGGACTGAACTCATATCTTCATGATTGTGTAGCATGGGTTTTACCAATTGAGCCATCCCCAGCTCCATTTGCTCAGTTTTCTTTTCTTAAATGACATGATTCCTGCTATCTGTTTGACATGAATATCCCATGTTCTTAGTGCTATGTATCCTACCCAAGGCGTTATGTCAGGAAATGACGATGATATTTTGGCTCATTCATGGTCGTGCTAAATTTAATTACTTGTCTAAGATGGAATCTGCCAGATCTCCTCATTATGGAGCACATATTATCATTATCATTAATAAATGCCTTAGGGTGGCCTTTGAAGACCATGTAAATCCCTGCTTAGCATCCTTCACCTAATGGTCTTGGCAGTCATTAATGAGCCTTGCTTGTGACAATTGTTTTCCTGGTAGTTGGCAAAAGATATTACATAACTTAGCTATTTATTCTACATCTCCTAGCTGGCTTTTATTTTTAACTCTCTCCTCATTCATTTTTGAACTACCTTTGAATTATCAGAATGGATGCATAGATTTTTTCCAGAATAATTTAAATCCAAAATAAAGTACTTCTTGAATGTTTCAATAGTTTTTTTTTAACATAATTGCTACGTTGTTTTCTCAAACATATTTTATATCCAGTTACTATTGTGAAATAACTTATTTTGTTTTTTAAATTCTATTTATTTATTTATTTATTTATTTATATTACATACCCCCACCCTCCCCTCCTTCCACTATCCCCATCCTCCCCCACCCCCACCTGCTCCTCAGAGGGTAAGGCCTCCCATAGGGAGTCAAGAAAGTTTGTCCTATCACTACACTGAGGCAGGACAAAGGCCCTCCCCCTTGTCTAGGCTGAGCAAGGTATCTCTCCACAGGAAATGGGCTCCAAAAGCCAGCTCATGCACTGGGGACAGGTCCTGGCCCCACTGCCAGTGACCACACAAAGTGCTCAAGCCATCCACTGTCATCCGCATTCAGGGGGCCTAGTTTGACCTATGCAGGTTCACCAGCTGTCAGTCCGGAGTCAGTGAGCTCCCACTAACTCAGGGCAGCTGTTTCTGTGGGTTTCCCCATTGTGGCCTTGGCCCCCTTGCTCATGTTATCTCTCCTCCCTCTTGTTTGACCGAACTCTGGGAGCTCTGCCTAGTGGTTAGTTGTGGATCTCTGAATCTGCTTCCATCAGTTACTGGATGAAGGTTCTGTGACGACAGTTAAGGTAGTAATCAATCCGATTAGAGGAGAAGGCCAGTTCAGGCACCTCTCCACTATTAATTAGAGTTTTATCTGGGGTCATCCTTGCTGTACTCCTGGGAATATGCCTAGTGTCAGGTTTCTGGATAACCCCATAATGGCTCCCTCTATCAAGATATCTCTTTCCTTGCTCTACTTCTCTGTCCTTCCCCTAACTGGACCATCCCGTTTTCTCATATTCTCCTCCCAATGCCCTTTCCTTCCTTCTTGCTCCCCTTCCACCCTCCACCCTCCCTTTCACGCTCCTAATTTGCTCAGGAGCTCTTGTCTATTTCCCCTTCCTAGGTGGATCCATGTTGAAATGACATATTTTGTCAAGTAGAGTTCCCCTAGGACACGGGCCCCTTTTCCTTTCATTAGCCTGGCTCAATTATGGTAATAATTTATCACTTACTTTCCATTAGTAGTTTAAACACAGTATTAAATATATTGATTTGAGAACAAAAGCTGGGGGCAGGGGCCTGTTTTCCCAGTGCCATGTGAGCTCACATGAACTCCTCTCCCCTCACCTCCTTGCCCTTGGCAATGAATGCTTTCTCTGACTTATTTTTAGGACCGAAGATTCAATGATGAGATCGACAAGCTAACTGGATACAAGACAAAATCCCTATTGTGCATGCCTATCCGGAGCAGTGACGGGGAGATTATCGGTGTGGCCCAAGCAATAAATAAGATTCCTGAGGGTGCTCCATTTACGGAGGATGACGAAAAAGTAAGACTTCACGCCTTGCATGACTTGGACTTTTCCATTTTGCTCACTGATTGCTGCTCTCACTGAAAGGGCGGGAATTATGTGAATAGTTCTTCGATTAGCCTATTCACAGATCAAAGAGCTTTTCCTATGCTGTACAAGATGTAATGGGAGGCCTTTTTAGCATTTCATAGAATGTGGTATAATTGAAAATAATCACTGTGCTTTTTTTAAAGCCCGCTTTTCATTACAAGTCCCAGTAGTATTCTTGCTACTGCCTAGTCTTTATTTTCCTTGTAAGTAAGCCTTTTAATCGTGAACAGTGCCATGACCATACATGACCCAAGGGAGGGCAGAGAATATGGGAAGATTACTGCGGTTCCAAAACTCAGCATTTGCTCTTGTCATTCTATAACTATAACAGAGAGTTTGTTTTCTTACTTCTTACATAAAAAAAAACCTAGGGTTATTTAATTGTTACTATAAACCACTAGTAAAGGGGACATCATTTTTGTTTCTGAAGAACAGGTAGCTCTGCTAGAATTTGTTCTAGAACTTTTAAGTTCCTCTAATAACGGTTTACTGTAAGTCATGGGGGAAAAGGCTCTTTGGGGAGATGTTTACCTTCCTACTGAATAGAAGCTGGTGGAAGTGAAAGCAAATCTCATATCAGTTTGTTTCTGTTTGATGACTGCTGTATTGCTATTGATTGAAAACTTTATAATTTAACCTCCTGCTATTTGCCAGTGCTAATTGTTAATATTGCAGGAGCACAAATGTGCTGCTGCAGAAGGTCAACATGAAATATGGTTATAGGGAAACAGGAAGAATTTTAAACAAAGTGAGACTTTCACTGAGGTCATTTCTGCAGTGGAATGGAAAGAACTCCAATCCTTTTAAGAGTTTGTAAACTCACAGAGCCTCACAGATCCTTGGATGACTTGTTGCCAATTCTGCATATAAAGTACATGGGTTGGGATCATAGGAAGCAGGTGGGTAAATCCCACGTGTTCTGTACCATCCAGGAGCTTCCCGAGGTGGGAGAGAGCAAGACGTTCTGGAGCATGTTGACGGTAGGAGAGAGAGGAGCTCCAAAGGTCCATCTTGGAGGTGATAACATTTCATCTCTGAGTCAAGAATAGGATTCAACTGACAGAACCAAGAGAGACAGGAAAAGCATTTGGAAGCCAGTTTGCAATAAATGGTGGTGACTCATGGCTGTCCAGTGCCAAGAAAAAGTGATGCTGAGGGTTCAGCCCTAAACAAGAACTACATCACCCCTTCTAAGGCTCAGGGAACCTTGTGGGAGAGGGGCAGGAAGAATGGACTAGCTAGAAGATGGGGAGAAGTGTTATGAAATGCTGTATGCAGATAGAGAGTTCCAGGACACTCAGGGCTACATAAAGAGACCCCATCTCAAAAAAAAAAAAAAAAAAAAAAATGCCAGGGCAGTGACATCCAAATGGTGGAATGGGAACTCTGGGAAATTACATCCCAGTGAAACAAGCAGAAATGGTGGACATTGCTTTCTGTATTACTGTTTAAATTATTTGGGGTAAATAAATATTTTTAAAATAAATTTACTAAAATTTGAAAAAAAAAGAAATGCTGTAGGCAGGACACAGCCACTGCAATAAAGAATTCATAGCAACTGTAGTTACATACGCTTGGCCTGAATAAGGCTAGGCCTGTAAATGTGGATAGAGAAGTGTCCATAAAGCCTACCCCTTACTGCTGAACTATTGACTAGATGGATTCTTAGAGAAGAAAAGTCATTGTTTTCAGTTATGTTATCCACTGTTAAGCCCAGCAGGCTCCAACAGAGAGCTCTAAATCCATGGTGATATAAATTCTCAATCCATGGCAACACAAATAGCCCTGGTTAAACTCAGTGAGTCAGAAGACAAAGCAAATAGATATAAATATGAGAAAGACATTTGTAGGGAAAATGGGAAAGTATATAGGTAGCATGTACCTTAAAGAGAGTAAGGAGTGAGAGTCGTCAGTATGCATTATAAACCTGTATGAAATTGCAAAAAAATTAATAATAAATCCATAACAATGCAGTGTAGACCATTTTGGTCAGTATAACACATATTCATGGAATGTCTAAGCAAAGAACATTTCAGAAAGATTTTACTTTTTACTTATGTGTACGACTGTGTGTTTGTGTGGGAATATGTTCATGTAAGTGCAGGTGCCTGCAGAGACCAGAAGAGGGCGTTGGATCTCTTGGAGCTGGAGATACAGGTGGTTGTGAGCTGTCAAGTGTGGATACTGTGGGCCAAACTAGGGATCTCTGGAAGAGCAGTACAAACTTTTAAATGCTAAACCATCTCTCCAGTCCCAATGAGAGATTTATTTTAATGTTTTTTAACCATAGATGGCAAAATCCTGAGCTAATATGTCTCCTTTCAAAGTTTAGATAGGATTTGGGGTTTGTGCCTTTTAGAATGTAACAACTTTATAAGCCTGTGGTCTGCCCTCTGCTCTACTCCCTTCACTTAGGGATCCCTCCAGATCTTTCCTTTGATTCATTTGTGTTATGACTGCTTTCTGGACTCCTCTTTGTGGATTTATACTTACAAGATAGGGCTCCATTAAGCTCCAAAAGATATAGTTTTTTTTCCAGGCTTCGTACTTGAATAGCATCAATGCTTATCTTTATTAAAAACCGGGCTTTTGTTGAGCCCACCTTGGTGGATGACAAACAGGCACACTCGGAAAGCCAGGGGATCTTCCTCAGCTACCTGACCGGTCAGTTGTGGTATCTCTCACTATGTGGCATGAGAATTAAATAAGGTCATAACATCAAACTCTGTAAAATGTGAAATGCTAGGCAAGTGTAAGCTAAAATTTCTACATCTAACATTTCATAGAGGTTTAAAATTTTCTTTTGTGTTTGTCACTTATCCTCAGATGATCTCCTAGAGTCAATCCTATTTTCTTGTTCCCAAATTTCTGATTTTCTCTTCTAAAATTACTTCATGTGCCCATAGTATAATTTTGTCTTCAAGTATGTTTAAAAAACCCATATAGTATTTTTACTATTTGGAGTTTTATCAGTCAGGGCAGGCAGAGTATGTCCATCTAGTTGACACAGTTATAAAATACTTTATGTCCACAATTTCTAGCCTGGGTTGGTTTCTTCTTGCAAGGATTCTATGTATTGTGCATCCAATAGACATGGTTAGGAAAAAAGTGGAAAATAAATTCTAGAAATGCTTGATGGAAAAGAATACAATCTTGCTGTCTCTGCCAAAGGAGGAATGATAATGGGGCTTTACAGATGCCCAAGTGATATTTACAGCGATATTTGCACTGAAATTACTTCATCTATATCTTGGTACCACTGTCTTATAGGGCCAGAGGGGGATTCCATGAGAGGGTACAGGGAAACCAGCTGGAAGAGCACTTAACTCACAGGGGTCCTCATGAGAGGCCCCCTGGTACACCGACAGCAGGGCTCAGTGAAAATTTACCTCCCTATAACTTGTCTCTAAGTTTCTATTCATTGGAACTTCCAGGTTGCTGAGTTTGTAGAGGTGACAAGAGGAACATGCAGTCAGAGGGAATAGAAGCTCAGCCCTTCCTCAAGCTGCCTCCTCTGTAAGCTGGCTGCTCTTTAGCTGCATATTCTATTACAAGTCTGTAGCACACAAGGAGTGGTTCCATATACAAACCGGAAAAGACCAGACCATTCATGACTATGTAGGTCAGACCCACCCTCATCAGTGGCCAGCCTGGGGGTGGGGGACCAGGAAGACTCTGGCTTTTTCCAACTCACAGTCAATAAGAAGCTCCCTAAGCTATCATCTAAGGCCAAGGTGTTGCAGTATCTGTCCTTTGGTATTCTCATGCCAAAAGTTCAAATCAAAGCATGTGTAACTCTCCTCCTGCTTTCACTGTAGAATATGCTGATCCTGCCCCTTTCAGACTGTCAGATGCAAGTGGTGGCGGCTGACTTCCTCTTAGCATGATCTCAGCCAATTGCCCATTTTCATTAAACAGAAGTTTTGACTAGTGTAGTCTATATGCCAGGTACTCCTCTGTCACTGTGGTCTCATTATGAGTTCATGGTTTTCTTGTATCACTACTAATGAATACACTGTTTTTACTTCATTCTTTAAGATTATCTTTATACTAGTTTGTAGTCTACTTCTTATTTTAGTTTTGAGATAAGTTCTCATTATGTTTCCTTAGCTGGCCTGAAGTTGCTATATTGACCAGGCTGGTCTCAAACTTGTGGCAAACCTACTGCATCTGCCTCCTGAATATAACAAGTGTACCACCTTGATCAGCCTCGAGTTCTCTCTATATAATTTAAACATAAATTTGTTTCTACCATATTTGTCCCCATGTGAATATATTCTATATTTTCCACTTGAAGTGATTATAAACTAATTTTCTTTGTTCTACATAATCTTGTTTCTCTGTCTTTAATTCAGGGTGTTTCCACCTGTAAACTAATTCATTCTGGGTCATGGTACTTTCCCTACATGTGTGTATATATGTACCATACTGCATAATATGATTCATATGTCTTGATGTCTTCAAGTTCTGGTTTTTGAAGCCTATAAGTATGTGAACAAGTTGAATATAGTCTTGAACATATTTCCTTTTGCTTTCCTGTCATTTCCTTGTGGTGAACTCCAAAGTCAAAAGGCAACCAAGTCTGTGCTGTCAGAAGCTTTCAAAAACTCTGAACTCATTTACAGTGGTGCCACTATTGGACAAGCCCATGGTCTTAGTGCCCTGCTGACTTTGATCAATTCACATTTAAAAACCAAGGTTAGTTTCCCTTGCTCTTTTAGGCAGGCTTCAGACAACCTCCTTTCACATTCAGAGAGAATATAAGGTCCAGCAGCAGGCTGGAGAGATGACCCAGATGTTAACAGTGAGTATTGCTCTTGCAGAGGATCTAAGTTCAGTCCCTAGCATCCACATAGTGGCTCACCACCTGTAACTCCAGCTCTAGGGAATCTGATGCCCTCTTCCAGCCTCCATGGGCACCGCACTCA